AGCGTGATACAATAATTGCCTAGGCTTACCACGTGATCAGGATCATTTGGCACAGAGATACCCCATTCTAATCGCGAACGGGGTCGAGATAGTGAGATATCACGAGCAGTATCCACCATTTCGTGTGCTTTTATTTTCCATTGATGCTGGGCTTCGGCTTGTTCAAGAAAAGCTGAGTAAAGGGGAGAGGAGAATTACTATAACTATTGTTATTATAGCACTCAACATGATTCGGCATAGTTTCCAGAAGAATTAGACACCATAGATACGTCGCAGAATCAAGGTCTGCACAACCGGTGGTGACAGCTGATGTCATATCGAATGGGGTCTATAATAAATGCGCTTTCAGCATCTTATAATTCCGAACTTGCCGACCACGATACTGTGCTCGAATTTAGCGAGTTTTCAATAGCACCGCGAAAAACGGGTAAACATCGCGGATACAGAAATTCATTCATTTTACGCTTAAGTGAATTGAGGGCATTGGGTCCAACTAGTGTACCACATCATACTCGAGCAGGGTATGCATGTTCCTGTTTCAGGTCATAGAAATGAAATCGCTCTGTGTGAGTTAATCATTATCATCTCCGTGGTCCGCGGTAGAAGACAGATGCATGCTTAAAAAAAGCAAGTAAAAACGGGAGTTAAACCAAATACGTGTATGAGACTGAGTAAGGTTGATCGAAAAACGCCGTTTGCATGAAAAAAGACAACATCCGTTGATAAATGATTGAGACCACCAAGTCAAACAACGGATATTTCCACTTTGATTGACATACATCACAAAAATGTGCACAGGAATCAAATGAGGTAATTAACCTCTTTCTGCGATCCAATGAGTGAATATTCAGCAGTCACAACCGGATAGGAAAAAATACCAGGCTTACATTAAATTCTTCTCCTGGTCTAATGCTCAGTAAAGTAATTCATGATGTCCCTGATCCCTAACCTATCACTCACTGTTCATGCAATCGCGAATCGCCGTGTGATCGCCCGTTTCTTTCCTGCTGTAATTATCACGTGCATTGTCCTTCGGAGCTGGTCAATCTTGTCGGCACGCGATGTTTGCCGAGGCTGTTAGTGGGTGGCAAAAAGCCAAAGGTGGTCAAACTAAGACCTGGCGTGAGGGTATGAAAACCCTAACCGGGAGACTCGGTCATATGGGTCGCGTTAGGCTCCCTGGATGGGAACCTCGGGATCATTCTAATTAATGATTGGAGGGTCTTAAACTATGGCGCCCATGCATGTTCCCAATTTCTTTGCAACCTACCGGAATGCTCCGTTTCAACCTTCAAATCGATCTTTTTTAAACCGTTCACCAAGAGGGCCAAGAGACGGCGACGGATACCGGCGCACTAGATGCATGGTAAATAGTTTTACAAAATGAACTGAACTGTCAACCTCGTCCCTCCCCGCTTCCATCTGCTTACAAGACCCAATCACAAGCTTTAGGCTATCCGTAAAAGATGACTCCAGAAACCGGTTGAACGCCGGCGTCGCAATAATCTGTTTTTTAAGAATAGCCACGAACTCTTCATCTGTCCCTACTCATTTATAACCTTTACACATTCAAGTACAGGATCAGTCAGTTGCCTTTTTTAATGAATGTTCTCCATCCCGACGGTGGTCTGTATTATTATGCGATTCATCACTTATCAAGCATTATGCTTGTCCTGTAATTAAAAAAAATCAAAAAGGATTCCTTAAGCATGGTGCGGGTTCGCGATTAATGCATCTCAGCGGAAAAGAGGATGTGAAAAATACCCATCTTCCAACAGGAACTGCCATCGACGATAAACAAGTCATAAAATTTGACCGTCTTAGCGACAGTTCAGCACGAGAAGCAATTTTTACCATTCCTGAAGTTTACAAAAGGTCACTTGACACTGGCCAAGTCAAAACGTTTATACTACTTACGNCTACTTACGCAGGTGAGAATCATGTCTTAACAGGTACTCCATCGCGATGAACAAATTGTTAGCGGCAGGACGGTCGCATCTTCCGTAGGGGGAAGAAGCGTAACTTAGCAACATGCACTCCGAAAAAGATGCTAATATTGTATTGTGTATAACTGCAAGCACTAGAGCTCACATTTCAGTTAAAAACTGATATACACCAACCGCCACAATGTAGATAATAAACTGGGAGAAAATTGTTACAGCTATGGGGACATTTCATAAACCAAGGCTACGACGAAGTTCACTTATTGTCCGCTCTTTGTTTGTGAGTAGACGAGCAAGAATTTCAAGTCATGGCGTATTAGCAAATAGTGTTGTAATACAGGAAATCAATGGCTGATGGGGCAGACTTCCGACAAGTATAGTATCATACAGATACTCACCTCCTGAGTCTAACCATTCATGTAACTGTGGCTTAAACGCACTCAGGCGGAACATGTGAGTTCTTTCTTCCATCCATTCCACCGTATGACCAGTTTCCTTGGCCACATGAGTTACTTGCTGATCTGGGGCAGATCGACCTTGACCAGAATTCTGTTGGGTTTCAGTGACGATTTCCCAGTCGGTGTAGAAGGCTTCATCCGATACGGAGTACCAACCGGAATATGAACTTTCATAAACCGAACCGCTTTCGGTCAAGCGAGTCTACAACATGAGGGGGGACGGGATAGATATATTTGGCAAGAGTGAGAATTGTCGCCTCCTTTCGCAATACCTTAGGAGAGAGGATTTCCAACCTTCCTAGAGATGGGATCACATAACTGAGTAGTTGGAAAGATGGATGAATCAAACGGTACGTCAAGCTTTTACAGGAGCATAACTGCTAATGAGTTTCACTACGTCTCCCGCACTAAGGTTCCACCTCAAAGATAAACTACCCTCACTCCCCGGCTGAATCCAAACGTTCTTACCCGTTTAGTTGCACCAATGGAGCTACATCAACCCATCAAACATTGTTTATTAAACACTCATCACCGTCACCGTCCACTTTACCATTGCATACATGACAAAGGCGGTCGCCATCCAAACAATGGGAGCCCCCATCCTCCGACCTAACCCAAAACAGTTTTCTCCATTGCATAACCACAAATGAAGAAACCAAAAAGCACCTCCTGGGGGGGGGGCGTCAGCAATCTAAACGAAACGGTGGGTATATTTGAACTCATCGTACTGTATGCATACAGTTTGTTGTAATCTAAACTAGATCAAATATCACAAATAACCTCATCATCAATGGTATTGCCGCAGAGTTGAGTGGATGACGAAAAAAATACAAATTAACCATTGAAAACTCAGATATAGTTTGGACGTAAAAGGGAGATCACTGTTTTCGTTAGAAGCAGCATGCAACATATGAATGAAAATAAATCGAAGTATGAATAACGAATACGGTAGGACAAATGTGAGGGAGTGAAATCAAGCGACAGGCGTCAATGAACAAAACAGAATGAACATCATCAAACAATAATATTTAATTCTGTTTTTGTTCCATGTGTTGTTATCGATTCCTTTGATGTACAGCAAGATTAAAATGCACACTTTTAATCGGCATCATTATTATGCAAAACATTGATTTCCCACTCAGTGACTGAGCACCTTAATCAATATCCTGAACCCCTAACAACTTTATCCCGACGTTCAGAAGCTAAATCATCAACTCACTGGTGCAACTGCCTCAAGCTCTCTTCCACCTTCTCCAAACCATGACGCAACTGACCTTGCTTCTCTGGACAGGGTTCTCCAAGTCTCGAGGAGACTTAAAGTCAACAGAGCTCATCGTCCTGATCTTTTAGTACCCCACTGGTTAAAACATGCTGAATTGTTCAGCACTTGTTTGTCATCCTCAACGATCCCCGATTGTTTGAGGTCATTCCGGATTAAATCAATGCCTAAGAAAGTACCGTTCAATTATCTGCTCATCTATGTTACTGGGAGCCTCCGAAGATGTTTTGCTGCAGCGCATGACAACCCTGTGTAACTCCCATGATACATTACAGTTTTCCTACAAATCCCGTCTGTCCACACGAGACGATGTCACCCATATTGTTCACTGTTGCATCCGTCTCAGACAAAGATACGGCTCGTTTGACTTTTCTTGATTGTTCAAGCGCCTTTGGTTCTCTCGACCGAAGAGCACTTTGTTGAACGTCTTTCTGATTATGGTGTGATACTTGAAATTTTTAATGTGGTGGCCCGGTGATAACCGAATCTGACCATCACCCCGGAGGACTTGTGTTGGAATCCCAACACCATCTGATTTTCCCAATTGTGGGTTGTGTGACAGCGCTTTGATTGGACGCGCCCTTTTATTGAAAATTGTATCATTATGTATTCAATAAAAGTAAAGATGAAAATGAAAATAGATTTCAGAGTAGCAAGCTTGGATTAGCCCATTCGACGGTTAAGAGGCACCAAGCACTGTTGATGGTCTTGGGTGAAAATATATTTTTTAATTGATTACTTATCCTGCAGAACCCAATTTATTTAATGTAATGGCACATAATCATGTCCCCAAACGTTCATTTAGGTGTTTTCTAGAGTGCTATTCTGTCGCCTTCTATCTATCTATCTATCTATCTATCTATCTATCTATCTATCTATCTATCTATCTATCTATCTATCTATCTATCTATCTATCTATCT